CAGTTTTCTGTTTATATTTACGAAATTTTAAAAACTCAAATAAAAATTTGTTTGGTAAAATTTTTGATTTATAAATCAGTGGTCTCAGTTTATAAATTTGGCCAAAAAATGAAAACACAAAAAATGTGTTTCCATTTTGAGTTTTTAGTTTTTTTTTTTTTATCACCCAAAACTAGCCACCATTCGCTACCATTTTTCACCACCGTCTTCAGCCACCACCACCCACCATCATTTTCCACCACCGTCTTCCGCCGCCACCACTCGTCTCCACCCACCACCCACCATTTCTCACTCTTTTTTATATTTTTAAATTTTTAAAATATTTTGTCTAAACCAAACGCGTTTGTAGTTTATATTTTTTTAAAAACAAACAAAAATCAGTTTATAAAATTTTTGTAAATATAAACTGAAAACGTAAACGTTACCAAATAGGCCGTAAGAGAGTTTGTGTATGTATATAAACTCTAGGTGGTAACACTTGGGTTGGGTCCTAAGGAGCATCCCAAGTTTGTAAAATAGAGAAGTTATGGACAAATGGAATCTTGGCTCAAACCACTACACGTGCGCGCGTGTTGCCGCCACCGCCGTCGGTCCGACCGAGCTGAGCCGTGCTGGGCACGGGTATGGGTTATGGGTCGGGTCGGTTATAATATTAATTTTTTGGATAAAATTTATTTTAATTTTTTTCTAGAAATTCTTAATGAAATTAAATTCCAATTTTGTGCCAAAATTGAAATTAATTTTCTGTCCAAATTTTACCACCTTCAATCTGAAATTCCTAAACAGATTCAAACTATTTTACAGTTTTGAAACTGCTAGAATCTACTGCAGTTACACATATTTAAATCTGTACAGTTCGAACAAATCAAACTATCTAGTAGATCTGTTGAAATTTAAGCAATTATCTGTTCAAATAGTGTTTGCACCTGTTCATTTGAAACCATACCTGTTCAGTTCAAAAACTGCACCTGTTTGGCAGTTTATTTTTCCTATAAATACCAGCATTGTTCCAGCAGTTCGATATCTGGTAAAAACAGTTTGAAAGATACATTTTCTTGCTGTCCAGATTTTTATTTGTTTGCATTATTTTTCATGTTATTCTAGAGAAAAATTCAGAGAGTTTAGAACACAGGTTTTGTTCGCTGTACAAATTGTTTGGAGTGCTACTACAATTTGTGAAGATCATTATATCTTGGGAGATAAATGCCATTTATCTGTAAGCACTGTAGCGGGACGAATCTGTCTTAAGGATAGAATGTCACACACTCGACTTGATCTTTTTATTATTCATTCGGTTCGGTAGAATTTATTTTATTTGTTTGACTTGGTTTCAATTTATTTATTTTACACAGAAGATTGTTCTAACAATTGAGTACATATATACATACATATGTATATGATGAATATTTTTTATTTGTCTTTTGACCTCTTCGAGGATAAAATTTTGGTTCCATCCTGATTGATATAGTTCTTAATTAATGTATGCATTTTTTTTTTTTTTTGGGGTCATAGTGAAAGAATGGCTGAGATTTGACTTCATTCACAACCACAACTGAGAGCTATTTTTGGAAGATAAAAGGAGCGAAGGGCAGCTGTTTTATTTCACATTGCATACGTTTCAACAATCTCTAAGGAGATTCTGAGTATTTAAAACATTGATGTAGTTGAACTATCAACTCCCTCTTTTTCCGAGAAAGTGTGACATTTGTTTTCCCGAGAAAGTGTTACGAAGTTCTTTGTGCGGTGAGGGATGTTTTGCCGCTGAGATCGTTAAGATTTCCATATTTATTGAAAGCGCATTTGATAGTTTGATTATTGGTGTTGTGTGCAGAGAAACAAAAGATCAAAAGTTTCCTTTTGCTTTTGTGCTTTGATTGAAGTCACAGAGAGAACATGAGTTCAAGGTTGCGGTGGAATTTTATTGCTACAGCTCTCCTTGGAATTCTCTTCCTTCTTGATTCTTGTTTCTCAGAGAACGGTATCTTCCTAACCTGCGCTCTCTCTCTCTCTCTCTCTCTCCTTATTTGACAAAACAAAGCCTGCGACAAAATTTTCTTTGCCGATCAAAAAACATATAGACATGCTAGGTATTATGAAAAAATTTTCATGAAAATGATCATGAAAAATTTAGGGCAAATTACATATACACCCCTCCAGGTTTGGTTAAATTACAGATACCCCCTGAGGTTTCAGAAATTACATCCCGCCCCCTGAGGTTTGTATTTTCATAACAATTTACCCCCTGAGGTTTATATTTCATAACAAATTACCCCCTAATTTCTTATGCAAATATAGCATTCAGGAGGGAATTCGTAATTTCTCAAACCTCAGGGGGGTATCTGTAATTTTGTCAAACCTGGAGGGGTGTATATGTAATTTGCCTAAAAATTTATGACCCTTTGATTACACTTAAAATAAAGCACCATACACTAATCAAGGTAATCCAAGAGTCATAAATCTTTCATGATCATTTTCATGATAGTTTTTTCATGATCCCTAACATTTCTCAAAAACATATATTGGTAATTTGGTCTCTTGGTCACTCAGCAAAAAAAAAAAAAAAAATTTAAAATGATAGCATTATTGTTTCTTCATTTTTTATTTTTATCTTTTGGGTTTTGTTTTAGTTTTTTCAAAACCCCTGTACTTGTACACATCATACTCATCTTCATGAATTCTATTTAAATCGTCATTAAAGTCATCTATTATTTATGTGAGCTTGATATTAGCTCATCAACTCTTCATTTATACCTTTTTCAAAACTTTTTGTGCGAATGTATCAAATATTTCTTGCTTTTATAGAGGGTTAAAAGTCACGTCTCAGCTTTTAATTCATTTTCATCTCTCACAAAAAAATCAAAAAAAATCAAAAGTAATTTTTAATCATTTTTTCAAAACACCTAGAGTCAGATTAACATGATATTAATAGGCCAATTCATGTATTTAAGAAATTCAATGAAAGTTTCGTTAGAAAATTAAGGCTGTGCCTGGAATCATGATTTCAAAGGTAAAATTTTCAAATCACTTTTCAAAATTTATAACTAAACAAAAAATTTAAAATTATTCCAAACTCAATTCAAAAATTAATTTCAAAACTCATAACTAAATACGCAACTTAGAATTCAATTCAAAACTTTTTTCAAAATTCTATTTTAAAAGAAAAAGTTCAAAAAAAAAATATTTTTATTTTTTAAAAAAATTATTTTTGGAATCATGATTTCCGTGTAGAGTCGTATTTTGAGTTATGAGTTTTGAATTGAGTTTTAAAAAGAGAAAATTTGTTTGGTTATAAATTTTGAAAAGAGTTTTGAGTTGTATTTTGAGTTTTGAATTGTATTTTGAAATTTTTTGGATTTATTTTTTTTAAATATTTAAAAAATTTCTTAATTTTATTTTTTTAGGGTAAATATTTATTTATTCATGTATTTGGTTATGAGTTTTGAAAATAATTTTTGAATTGAGTTTTAAGTTATGTATTTGGTTACGATTTGAGTGTGTAGCTGTGTTTTGAGTTTAAAATATTAAAATTAAAATATTTACAAAAAAAAATTAAAATTTTCTTAAACATTTTTTTAATATTTTAACAAAATAAATCCAAAAAATTCAAAATTCAAAAATTCAAAACTCAAAAATTTTTTCAAAATTCAAAAATTCTTTTCAAAACACTTTTAAAACTAATAACTAAACAAATTTTCTTTTTTCAAAATTCAATCCACAATTCCACACTCAAATCAGAACTTTAAAAAGAGAATCACAATTCTAAACTACACCAAACGCAACCTAAGACTAGTTAGAGAATTTTATTTTATTTCTTATGATGAATTTTGGTTAGAATGAAAAGCGGATGAAAAAAAAAAAAAAAAATCTACAATTAAATGCATTAACCCTGTCTTTCTCAAAACACACACAGCTCCATATCCCACGTTCGCCCGCGATGCAACACTGGCACCCGCAGAGATATTCTACGATTACATCATCATAGGCGGAGGAACCGCGGGCTGTGCTCTCGCGGCTACTCTCTCACAAGGCGCAAATGTTTTAGTGCTGGAGCGAGGCGGTTTGCCCTACGGAAACCCTGCCATCAACAACATGGACTCTTTCGCTGAGACTCTGGCCAACATATCTCCATCGTCCCCTTCCCAACCCTTCATCTCCACTGACGGTGTCAGTAACGCTAGAGCCCGGGTGTTGGGTGGCGGAACTTGTTTAAACGCCGGGTTCTACACCCGGGCTAGCACCGCCTACGTGGGGCGAGTGGGTTGGGACCAAAAATTGGTGAATGATTCGTATGAGTGGGTGGAAAATAAGGTGGTGTTCCGGCCACCAATGTTGGAGTGGCAATCGGCGGTGAGAGATGGGTTGCTTGAAGTGGGTATGCTGCCGGACAATGGGTTCACATATGATCATATATATGGGACTAAGGTTGGTGGGACAATATTTGATCAAGATGGTCACAGACACACTGCTGCTGATTTGTTGGAATATGCTGATCCAACAAAGATTACTGTTTATTTGAATGCCGTAGTACACCAGATCTTCTTCGGAACAACAGGTGATCATTGATTCTAGTTTTTTTTTTTATTTTAAATGCTTTAGACAACTAATTCAACATCACTAACGAGGTGAACCCTACCATTGATGTGATAGTTTAGCTTCTTTTTTTTTTTGTTTGCTTGTACTACCAGTTCATTAGAGTTGATATTAGTGCTACACTTTTAGTAGTCTATATCACCGTTGTTTTTTTTTTTTTTTTAGTTAAAATAATGGTAGTAATATTAAAAATTTTACTAAATATTTTATCAAAGTCTAAGTCTACCTAAGTATGGGTTCACATATACACGAGACCTTTAGTAAAACATTTGATAGAAATTCAGTACCTCTGCCATTTTCTTTTTTTGTTGTAGTATCTCCGGTTTACGTTTTGCCCCTTTATATTTTCTTATTTTGGCTATTGCTATTATTAATTTTTTTTTTGGGGACCCATTTCAAGTTTTTTCATTTACTTCTAAAGATAAGTTATATTTAAAATTAGATAAAAAATACTACATTAATTGTCACATGATATGATAGTATATTACTATATTGAGATTTGGATTTGTGTAAAAAATATGAATTATTTATAATAAAATCTTTTTATATTATGCGTTTGTCAATGTGTTATTTTTTATCTATATTTGGATATATATTAACTTTTAAAATAAATTGAAAAACATTTGAAATATAAATAAAAGGCTAATGTGAAAGAAAAAAGAAATTTTAAAGACCAAAATAAAAATTAAAAAACCAAATATAAAATGGCTGAAGTTTAATTTTTCCATCTAAAGTATGTGTATGTGATGTGAGATTTTAACTTTTCTAAAGCAAAAATGTCAGAGACTTTAAATATTTTATCAAAAATTCTATAAAACACCTGGTTAGCTAATCAATTAAATCCATTGAGTGGGCCCCTGAAAAGTTTAGGACAGTAAATATTCTCACGAGGAAAAATTATTCCATACCAATGTAGCAATCCTACAAATCAATTTTAGCAATTTATTGGTGTGAGACTCACATGACTCCGCACCAATGAATAGCTGAGAATTAATTTATAGCATGACTAAATCAATGCTTTTAGGGTGTTGAATAATTGCTCGAAGGTAGGTGAACTTTAAAGAAACAACAGTGGTAGACATTAGGGGTGAACGCGGGTTGGTTGCGGTCATGGAACCTTCAATCTGTCATTCGTTTACTGGATTGATAGATTTAAAAAAATCAATCCGCATCTGTCCACCAATCCAGCGGATGTGGGTTGAGCGGATTGACGGATTGGTAGATGGATGTGAATCGGTTTGGCGATTTAAAATTTTATAATTTTTTAATATAATTCAACTTGTGCACATCCTCAAAAAAATAATAATAATAAAAAAGAGTATTACAGTCAATGACTTAAAAAAGTATTACAATCACTGAATGTCTCATCCACATGTTACACTCACAACATGCTTTATTCACATAAAATATTACAATATGTGGTTCTTAAAATATAAAAACAATTCAAACCACCAAAACAATGAACAAAGCAGTAGTAGAGATTGTATACTTCTGTATTGTTATATCAATATCTGTTTTGAAAACAAAAATCAATCAGCATATATCATGTTTTTTATTTATTATTTTTAGAGTTAGATTTCAACACTAAAAAATATAGATAAATAATACATTTATTTTTTTTTTCAATTTAAAAAATATATTCAAGTTGAAAACTCTTTTTCAACAGAATATTTAAACTTTTTTTCAATTAAAAACACAAATAAAATATCTAAACAAATTAAAAATACAAAGTCTTACAAATTGCTAAGGGTGCTCGCGGTTTGGCGGTTCGGTTGCGGTCAAATGAATCTCAAATCCGCCATCCGTCCAAAATTAGGCGGATTGAAAAAAATTAATTCTCAACCGTTCGCTTGTCATCACGCATCAATCCAAAATGCAGTGGATCGATTCGGTTTGGTTGGTCTGAGCAGATCGGTATATCCGCTACTCACCTCTACTATACACTAATTTTTTTTATTACCAAACAGTTATATATGTGTGGTCTTACATGTGTATGGATTCTACACTTTTGTGAGTGATTTGATAAATTTTTTGATAATTTATTTTGTATCCCTAGCATTTTTCTTAAAGAAAGCAACAATGCCAGACACATTAAATTTTTTATCAAAAAATCTATCAAATTCTTACATGGGTATGGGTCCTACATAAGTGTGAGTCCCACACCTATGTGGGTATTTGATAGATTTTTTGGTAATTTATTTTGTATCCCTAGCATTTTTTTTTTTGAAAAAGAAAATATGTTAATATATTTGAAATTATTTGTAAATTATGTTAAGCTATGAGCTCGATGTTTTGAGCAATTGACGATGTAAAATATATATATATATATATACATAAAAAAGAGAATGATACTTGAACCTAAAATTGTGTATTTGATAAAAAAAAATATAAATAAATAAATTATCACCTGAGTATCGCACAATATATAATCTGGTTAAAATCTGGTCAGGATCACTCATGTTTTCCGATCTATCTGTTCTATCCATCTCTTTATTCTCTCCAACACCGGTCTCACATCCTCACATTGGTGGACCACATTTGTTTATTTTATTATTATTTAATTTGTTTTTATAATATATACCATCTTATTTTACTATATTATATGCTAACCAAAAAAAAAAAGGTTATGACTTTTATAAGTGTATTTTTTGATTTTTTATGAAATATGAGTTGTGTTTGGGTTGAGTTTGAAGTGATGTGTTAGAGAGGTGATATGACTTAAAGGTCCATTGTTTTTATTTTTTTATTTTTGGTTACGATGTGTTAATTACAACCTTGGTTATGGTCAAAACACTATACAGTTATGTGTTAAGTGGTATTAATTATAAACTATTGTGATATTTTAGTTATGATTGAAAATAATTAAGTTTTAAAACAAAGTTTCAAAACCTCAAAATATTATAATTTGCATTTATTACACAACAAAATTAAGTTTTTATAGTTTTGAAAGTTTTAAAACAAAGTTTCAAAACCTCAAAATATTATAATTTGCATTTATTACACAACAAAATTAAGTTTTTATAGTTTTCTTTTTCAAAAAGTATGAATTATAAAGTTTTCTTTTTCCAAATACAACACTTAGGACTCGTTTGGGAATATACTTTTTTAGTAATTTTTTGGATTTTTAGCTAAAATATGATGTAAAAAAAACTAGTATGTTTGGGATGACTTTTTGACTTTTTACGAAAAGATGTGTAAAAAGTAGAGAGAAAAATGAATCTTTGACTTTTTGGTATAAATTGTTCGTTTTTTAATTTTTTTAATAACTTTTTGATTTTTTGACTAAAAAAAATACTTACCAAACGAGGCCTTAATGTCTTATCGTTATCGGCAACTGAAAATTGGGTTTGCTATTTATTGCATATTTGGGTATCTTAAGGCAATGACATGGTCTAGTAAAGTGACAACCTTATTTTGCCTATGTGAAAAAACAAAATGCCATTTTCTTAGGCCTGGTTTGGCAAGTATCATTTTTAGTCAAAAAGTTAAAAAGTTACTAAAAAAATTAAAAAGCCAACAACTCATACTAAAAAGTCAAAAATTTCATTTTCTCTCTATTTTTTGCACATCTTTTCGTAAAAATCTAAAAAGTCATCCCAAACATACTAGTTTTTTTTTACATCACATTTTAACCAAAAAGTCAAAAAGTTACTAAAAATGCCTGTTCCCAAACAAGGCCTTAATTTGAAATAATAATGAATTTATATGTTCAGTTTATAACTATTAGACAAGTACTAGAGAAATTTCATTACAATTATATATTGGTACTACATCATGGCAGGCATGGATCTCTATGTTTATTTATGTTATACATAAATTAAGAAATTGTCAGTGAATAAGTCTATAATTATAGAATCGAACATAATATATATATATATATATATAAATGTGAAACAATTATTTAAAAAAAAAATTAAATCTTACTAATAAAATGCAACATAGTCTCTATTTATATATATTTGGTGTCTGATTCTTTATTGAATTTCTATGTTCTACAGAATTGAATGTTAATAAAAATCAATCGCAGTCATGTTTAATATTGCATTATTTTCTTTTGTGATTGTAATATTACAGCAGGACAAGCAAAGCCAAAAGCTGAGGGTGTGGCATTTAGAGATGCAAATGGAAAGATGCATAGAGCATACCTAAACAAGGGTTCTTCCATGAATGAAATTATATTATCAGCAGGAGCACTTGGGAGTCCACAACTGCTGATGTTGAGTGGTATTGGGCCCCAGCAACATCTCATGGCCCATGGAATAAAGGTGCTGATGGACCAGCCCATGGTTGGTCAAGGAATGGCTGATAATCCAATGAATGCAGTATTCATTCCAGCTCCTACGGCCCTTGCTGTCTCACTCATTCAAGTTGTAGGGATTCCCCAGTCCGACAGCTACTACATTGAGACAGCTAGTGGTTCCTTCTTTGGCTCTACTATTCCTCAAATGTTTGCAAATCAGGTTTGTTGTTTTTTAACAAATCATTTTTCATAACCATATATATATGGAAGATAGGATAATATAACTACATATCAACCCAGGGACGGAGGCAGCATAGGGCCAGGGGGCACCCCCCTCAGTTTTGCATTTTTTTTTTTGTTATGTATGAAATGTATTTTCTTTTTTTTCTTAATATGTTCTTTTGCTAATGATTTATTATATTGTTCACAATAAGTAGTTATTTGATACTTTGGGAATATTATGTGGTATTATTTACGTAGTAATTTAAATCAATAGTGTAGTGCAAAATATTATAAATTGAATATAATGAACTAATTATTTTCAAGTAGTTGACATACCCTTTAGTGTGATTTGTGATTTCTTATGCTTTGAACATCACGTAGGTAACGCCATATGGTACTCTAAGACTGTTTAATAACTTTCATTCAAAATACATTATTTATAAGCAATGTCATCTCTTTAATATTTTTCTGTCAAATAAAAATTAAATAGATTTTATAATAATTTGTGCTATAAATGATGTGGTTTTATTTTTTAAAATTAGAAATTTTGATCCATGATTTTTGTGCTAAAATTGCAAACTTAGATCATCATCCCACACCGAGTTATTCCACACTATTATAGAATTTTGATTTGTTCTTATTAATAATGAATATGTAATTTTTTATGTTTAAATTTATCTCATAAAATGATTATTATCTTAGTGTTGCTCATGAATTTTTTTTCAATAAAAAATTATAATTAATAAGTGTGCCCTCTAACTTAATTTTCTGATTCCGCCACAGTATCAACTTGAAGTAACCTAAAAGGAAATCTTCGTTGCCATGAAAATTTGTGAAGAAAATTATCATGAACATAGAAATATATTTGAGATATGATGTTTTCGATTAAATTTCTAGATAAAAATTCTGAGTATGTAGTATAACGATGCTAACATTGCAAAAAATGGTTGACATTGTTGCAGATGAGACACAACTCCACAGCGCTTGCTAATAAAATCAGCAACTCATTTCTAAACCCAGCTTCTCACATTGGAGTCCTGCTAGAAAAGATAGCGGGTCCATTCTCAACGGGCCATTTGGAGCTCAAAACCAGTGATCCAAATGACAACCCGAAAGTAACCTTCAACTACTTCAAAGACCCCAAAGATCTGCAGAGGTGTGTTGAAGGCATGACAACCATCACTCAGATCATAGAATCAAGTGCTTTATCGAAGTTCAATTCATTGCCGGCAGAAAATCTTCTTGGGTTGATGCTGACATTGCCGGTGAACTTGAGACCTAAACACCTGCGTGCAGCATTGTCGTTGGAACAGTTTTGCATAGACACTGTAATGACCATTTGGCATTATCATGGAGGTTGCCAAGTTGGGAGGGTGGTGGATAGTGATTATAAAGTGCTCGGCGTAGACGCATTGCGTGTTATTGATGGTTCTACCTTATATGACTCTCCCGGAACTAATCCTCAGGCTACTGTTATGATGCTTGGAAGGTAATTAATCCTCATTCCTTTTTGTCACTATGATTTTGTGACAATTATTAGTCTTTTTAAATGTATATATCCAAAATTTAGTGGGAAAAAAAATCGAATTGGAATTGAACTTAAAATGTAGAAATTAAATTGTTTAAATTGAAATAATAAGAATAAAAATAAAATATATATCAAACTATTAGGTGAAAAGTTATCCTTTCACTTCTTATGAATCCACACAACAAATATCATATATACAAGTAGGGCCCATTTTTTTTTATTAGGGTCATATGCCGGTTTTTGTAATTTATAATTTGTGTCAATTTGGTAGGTTCAATTTTAATTTGATCACTTTTGTTCTTAAATTTTTACATTGTGGCAATTTAAATAAATTAATAACATTCATTAAGAAATTGGATAAAAATAAAAATAAATAAATGATTGATTTAAAACTGAATGTCAACCCTCAATCTTTTTGATGAGAGTATTTTATCTCTTGATTTCATTGCAATTTCCAAAGGAACATTTTTAATTAGACTAAAATGAAATAATGTGGAAAATTCAGAAGTAGAACCATATGACATGTGGGAAAAAGTAATTTTCAAAAATTTGAGACAGGGTTGGGTCTAAATTGGCTACGCCACTGGTAGTGCAGATTCACATAGAAAGTGAAAAAATAAAATAATGATCTAAATAAGTATATATTTTATTTTTTATAAAAAAATATGCAGAAAAATAGATAATTGATGTGATCCAAATAAGTGTACTTCTTTAATTTATGCCAAATAATATATTAATTAAAAGTAAGATTGGTGAAATTAATCGCTCAGTAATATTATTTTTCTTGTGATTATGATTGCTGAACTTTATAATATGAGACTTCATTTTTGTGGAGGTTGTAATCTTGAATTGTTTGTGGTGCAGGTATATGGGACAAAGAATTCTGCATGAGAGATTTCCAAATGGGAAGAAGTAGAAAATGATACTAATTACTTTCTTTGTTTTCAATCATGATGTGTTTTTAGTAACTTTACGATGTGTTTTTAGTAACTTTATGAATTTATTTGTGATCGATCTTGTCTAATATATAAAATAAAGAGAGTTTATAATTTGCAATTGCATTGTTGGTGTGTCATGTATTCAAGCAGGAAAATGTTCCGGTGTGCCCTATGCAACCCTACACAAATTCAATTTTGGGGTTACAAAATTTTGTTTTTGTAAAGAAATCCAGTTAATCAGCTTATGTTGGGGAAAAAACCAAAATAAGAGAACAACGAAAAATTTAGGGCAAATTACAGAAATAGTCCCTGTACTTTATCCCGTGTATCATTTTGGTCCCTAACATGTCCAATTGTGTGATTTAGCCCATCAATTTAATGAAGTGTGTCAATTTCGTCCAATAATTGACGCCCGTTTGAAATTTTGGACAAAAACCCAGCACCTGCCTCTCACGTGCTCCCTTTAACAATTACTGAGGGGAACACTCGTCTTTTCATCTCAAACCCTAGTTACCTCCCGCCAAAACCATATATGTCATCTCTATCTCCATTATATACACATACAGACTCCAAAATTGATGGTAGACGAAGGACAGAAGAAGAGGATGGATCATGTACTATGCCAATGCAGAATGGAAGCTCAGTTGAAGACTTCGTAGATAGAGAGCAACCCTGGACGGAGGTTTTTGGATGTCCTCAATATGGTGTAATTGTAGATGGAAAAAAATTGGGATGTCCTTTTGTTATACTGTTTGTAAAGGCAACTGAGACGTTTAAGAAAAAATATTGCAGAGCAGACATGCATGTAGATTCTTTCTATGGGTGGATCCTCCATTGTGTCCTCATGCTCGAGAGATCATACCTGGGTTGCTGAGAAGAACCACCATGCTTAAAGAGCAATTAAAGATGCACAAAGTAAGATAGAGGAAGTTGATTACTTTGATGGCATTGTCATGACTCATTTTTTGGTGTTGGAACATGATTGGAGATGGTTCTGCAGCTGCTTCTCTTTCAAGCACTGGGAATGATGGAAATTAAAGCTTCTGGACTAGGAACGAAGTGGGTTTTTTTTTAAAAAAAATTTGTAATTTTTTTTTTATTTTTTTGTTTTGAAGCTTCTGGACTGGGAATGGAGTAGGAATGAAGGTTTTTTTTTTTCTTTTTTGTTCTTGTAATTGATGCTTATGGACTACTGGGAATGGATTTTAGTGTTTGATTTTGTTATGTCTAGTGTTATGTAATTGAGGTTTTTTATGTATGAATGTTATGAGTATCCAAACATGTTTTGAATGACACTATATCAATGTGGAATGAAGTTGTAGCAATGTTTTTTAATCAATATTTGTTTATCAACTCTTAAGTCAATGTTGAATTTTTAAATGAATGTTGAATGAATTGTTTTTGTTTATCATTTTTTTCAATCACATTGTCTCATGGTGCATTGGTTTGTTCACCTTTGCTGCGTTGGTTTGTTTCACTTTTAGCAAACATGATGCAACCTATTACAAGACATAGAAATAAACATTGTAGACATGGTTGATACAAAGAAAAGAAAAAGAAAAAAACATGGTCCAAACATGTTCCAATACAAAAAACAAATGCTTCAAATAATACAAAGAGGCCAATCAGTTGACAAATCCAACAAAATATTACTTCAAATAACAAATACTTCAAACATGGTCCAAAATGGAAAATCCAACAAAACATTACCATGTTCCAACAAAACATAAAAAGGCCAAATACAACAAAACATAATGCATAAGATTTCACAAAAAAAACTGTTGTCTACTATTAAGTAACTACTCCTTCAACATTTAATTGTTTCCATGTTTTGGTAGTGAAGACAAGGTCGCAAACTTCTGCCCCTTTGACACATATGTTGTTGAACTCTCATATGGACCTGTAGATGTGTTTGGCTCAATGCATGTGCTTGTTCTAATGAAACATGGTGGAGGTTCTCTAATGTTCACCCCTTGCAATGCTGCTATGAAGTTGAAGCTTGGTTGACTACCACTTGCTTTAGGCCTTATTGAAATGCCTACCCTACTGCCTTGTTGATTAGTGGCTTCAGTGGTTGCTTAGCCTCTTGGTTGACAACTAGGTTGAGTAGGTGGCTGATTGTTTCTCTGGGTGCTTGACTGGTTGTTCGTCACCTGCAAATTGTCAGTAATTAATTATATAAAGGACATATAATAAATGAATTGAATAACAAATTGTGTAGGGTAGCCTTTGGTGTAATAGGCTGGCCTTTGCATCATCTTTTGTTGCACCCAAGCTGACCACACAAGTTGCATGTAGTTGTTGTGTTTCCTCTGTGCAACTTATAAGGATTCTTAGGCTCATCTACTTGCCTTTTTCTTAACTTTCTTGGCCTACCATTTTGCTTCTTCACTTTTGGAGGCAATAATCCAGGCAACACAGACTTTAGCCACATTTCAAAACTATTTATTGGGTATATCATTTGCTCATAGCTAGCCAAGTATGTCTCCTTATATCAATGAGCCACATAATCTTCAGGTTGCTCATGTTTGTCATATATGGCTGAAATGACATGACAACATGGTATGCCAGTTAGATCCCACTTTCTGCATGAACAAGTTGAATCACACAAATCAACTACAAATTGTTGGCCATTGAAGCAATTAATTTGGTACCTCAGACCTCCTGCCCACATAGCAATACAATTGTTATTTCCATCCAAACCAATAGCTTGCAATAGTTGTCCCTTCTATGACCCTTTCAAATGGCAGGCATCAACCCTAATGAGTGGCCTACATCCTGCCAGAAAACCTTTCTTGCAACCGACAAAGCATACAAAAATCCTTCGAAACCTAGGCTTGGCTTTATATATTTCATGTTCTTCATTTTCTGCATCTTCATCATCTTTTTTGACTATGATAGTTGTCACTGGATTAGTTCTTTTTATCTCTTCACAGCAATCTCATAACTTGGCATATTGTTCCATGAGGCTTCCCTGTATCAATTCTTGTGCTTTTCTCTTTGTCCTATACACTTGGCTCCTGGATATCCCAACCTTGTGCTCCTTTTGCACGGTTTGCTTGAATGACTACACTAGAATAGATGGGTTGGACTTGAATGTCTCCAAGTACTTCTTAGACAGCCATGTAGAATTCACTTGACTGCTATAAAAAATTCTGCTACAATTGTGAGTGCGGACATATGTCTTTATCTGGTATAATGGTTGTCCTTGCATCTTGGATACATGAAGCATCCACTCACATGGTGGCCCTAACCCTCATGTTATCATTTTTGACTAACTTAATAGCCTTCCCAGTCTTAATACCATGCTCCTTAATAGCAGCTTTCAATATTTTGGCAGTGCCAAACACCATGCCAACCTTGAACTTTGGGTCTACCATATCTGTGTTTGGATTAAACTCTGGGTATCTAACCCTGTTGCTTCCAGCCTTTTCATCAGAAGATTCATTAATGCTCTTGAGGTCATCAGATGTAGCATCAGGCTCTAGGCAGTCAATATGAGGTACCTCAACTCTTTCATCATTATTTTTATCAACATTAGCATCAAATAGTATGTCATCCTTATTGAAATCATAGTCACTGTCCTCAAAGTCCTTTAGATCTGTAGAATAATTCGATGAATCATGACTTTGCCTTTCAACTTCAACTTCATCCTCACCCTCACCCTCCACATTACTTGTGCCACTTCCAATTTCCACAATGACAATTGATGCATGGTGAAACGTGTTCATACCACATAAGAGAAGGAAGTTGACGCACTCCAGGTTTGGGTTCGTGAGATATAATTGCTCAATTGCAGCAAACATGGCAGTCCATAAAGCAAATGGACTGTGGTGTGACAACAGAGCCTTAACAGTGAAAGTTGCTGAGTTTGTTCGTCGTGTTGAAGCACAGAAAAGGCCTTTACAGAGTTCAACCCAAAGAAAGGAAATGAGAGGTACGGGAACGGTGTCTTGGAAGCTAAAAGGTAAGGAATCCTTTGCCCAGGTAGTACGTGGGAAAGGGTCTGTCACTAGTGCAACTTTAACTGTAAAAGTTTATGAAGCAGGGAATGGATGGTTGTACAATAGTGCCCTTGTACGATTAAAATCGCTGTACTGTGGGGCAGATTTCAAAACAGAGTTGAGGTTTAGAGGCATGGAGAATATTGAGGTTCGAGAAGGAGGGGGTAGAGACATAGTTCTATCATTTCCATCGGTCGAAAACATGCGTGAAAAACTTAAGCAAATGGAGGTTTGGGCTAAGGATTGGGCTGAATCGGTTACAGAATGGAAACAAGGGATGGGCATTGCACAAGAAAGAGATGTCTGGTTGAGCTGTTATGGGGTGCCCCTAAACGTATGGAACAACAACACCTTTTATTCAATAGGCAGATTATGGGGGGACGTGACTGGTCTTGCTGATGATACATCCAATATGGAAAACTTGATTTGTGGCAAGGTAAGAATAGTTACGAAGTGCATGGAGTCCATTAACAAAACAATCAATTTGGACTGCAAAATGGTACTTTATCCGATAAAAGTTTGTGAAGATCAGATTGTTACTGCAAAGGTGGTGAATAAACATTGTATTTGCCATCATCAACATGGAAATAATGTCAAACATAGCTCTTATGGGGATGAAGTTACCCAGATGGTGGAAGCAGAGAGCAAGCAGGAAAATGGTGATGATGACGTGGAGATACTAGTAGGCAATGAGGTGGACGATGATGGAGACATAGCAGTAAGGTGTACTGACCCAAGAAATGATGATTGTAATGGCAGGGAAGGGGAGGCTAGCTGTAAGAGCACGTCTGTGGTGGCTCAAACTGTCAGTGGCATGGGGAAAGCAATTTCTGGGGGCGCATGCGGGAGTAGGGGGGTAGCTCTGGTGATGAGCTCTATCAACGTTCAAAATGGGATGAATAGGCCTGTTGATGGTGATTTTAGTAACCCAGGCCTCTTGAAAAGTCTAAGTGGATCTGATTTATGAAGGCCTGGGCTTAACATTGAGGTTGTCTTGACTAAAGCCCATGAACTGAATGGTGTGGAAACCCAAACCCACAGAGCACCTACAATTAAAACATTGGAGGCCCAAATCAACTTAGAAAACTCTATTCAACCTTGTAGTGCTGAAGAA